CAGTAGTAATTCAGTCACCATTGTGAGGTGTAAAATAGTAGTAATGCAGTCAACAGTGTGAGGTGTAGATACAGTAGTAATTTAGTCACCATTGTGAAGTGTAGATACAGTAGTAATTTAGTCACCATTGTGAAGTGTAGATGAGGTGTAGATACAGAAGTAATTCAGTCACGATTGTGAAGTGTAGATATAGTAGTAATTCAGTCACCATTGTGAGGGGTAAAATAGTAGTAATTCAGTCACCTTTGTGAGGTGTAGATACAGAAGTAATTCAGTAACCATTGTGAGGTGTAAAATAGTAGTAACTCAGTCACCAGTGTGAGGTGTAGATGCAGAAGTTATTCAGTCACCAATGTGAGGTGTACATACAGTACTAATTCAGTCACCATTGTGAAGTGTAGAGACAGTAGTAATTCAGTTACCATTGTGAGGTGTAGATACAGAAGTTATTCAGTCACCAGTGTGAGGTGTAGATTCAGAAGTAATTCAGTCACCATTGTGAAGTATAGATACAGTAGTAATTCAGTCACCAATGTGAGGTTTAGATACAGTAGTAATTCAGTCACCGATGTGAGGTGTAGATACAGTAGTAATTTAGTTACCGATGTGAGGTGTAGATACAGAAGTAATCCAATCACCATTGTGAGGTGTAGATACAGAAGTAATTCAGTAACCATTGTGAAGTGTAGATACAGTAGTAATTCAGTAACCGATGTGAGGTGTAGATACAGAACTAATTCAGTCACCATTGTGAGGTGTAAAATAGTAGTATTTCAGTCACCATTGTGAGGTGTTGATACAGTAGTAATTCAGTCACCATTGTTAGGTGTTGATACAGTAGTAATTCAGTCACCATTGAGAGGTGTAGATACAGAAGTAATTCAGTCTCCAGTGTGAGGTGTAAAATAGCAGTAATTTAGTTACCATTGTAGATACAGTAGTAATTCAGTCACAATTGTGAGCTGTAGATACAGTAGTAATTCAGTCACAATTGTGAGGTGTAGATACAGTAGTAATTTAGTCACCATTGTGAAGTGTAGATGAGGTGTAGATACAGAAGTAATTCAGTAACCATTGTGAAGTGTAGTTACAGTAGTAATTCAGTTACCGATGTGAGGTGTAGAGACAGAAGTTATTCAGTCACCAGTGTGAGGTGTAGATTCAGAAGTAATTCAGTCACCATTGTGAGGTGTTGATACAGTAGTAATTCAGTCACCATTGTGAAGTGCAGAGACAGTAGTAATTCAGTTACCATTGTGAGGTGTAGATACAGAAGTAATTCAGTAACCATTGTGAAGTGTAGTTACAGTAGTAATTCAGTTACCGATGTGAGGTGTAGATACAGAACTAATTCAGTCACCATTGTGAGGTGTAGGTACAGTAGTAATTCAGTCACCGATGTGAGGTGTAGATACAGAAGTTATTCAGTCACCAGTGTGAGGTGTAGATGCAGAAGTTATTCAGTCACCAATGTGAGGTGTACATACAGTACTAATTCAGTCACCATTGTGAAGTGTAGATATAGTAGTAATTCAGTCACCATTGTTAGGTGTTGATACAGTAGTAATTCAGTCACCATTGTTAGGTGTTGATACAGTAGTAATTCAGTCACCATTGTGAGGTATAAAATAGTAGTAATTCAGTCACCATTATGAGGTGTAAAATAGTAGTAATTCAGTCGCCAATGTGAGGTGTAGATACAGTAGTAATTAATTCACCATTGTAAAGTGTAGATACAGTAGTAATTCAGTAACCGATGTGAGGTGTAGATACAGAACTAATTCAGTCACCATTGTGAGGTGTAAAATAGTAGTATTTCAGTCACCATTGTGATGTGTTGATAAAGTAGTAATTCAGTCACCATTGTGAGGGGTAAAATAGTAGTAATTCAGTCACCAATGTGAGGTTTAGATACAGTAGTAATTCAGTCACCAGTGTGAAGTGTAAAATAGTAGTAATTCAGTCCCCAGTGTGAGGTGTAGATACAGAAGTTATTCAGTCACCATTGTGAAGTGTAGATATAGTAGTAATTCAGTCACCATTGTTAGGTGTTGATACAGTAGTAATTCAGTCACCATTGAGAGGTGTAGATACAGAAGTAATTCAGTAACCATTATGAAGTGTAGATACAGTAGTAATTCAGTAACCAGTGTGAGGTGTAGATACAGAAGTAATCCAATCACCATTGTGAGGTGTAGATACAGTAGTAATTTAGTCACCATTATGAAGTGTAGATACAGTAGTAATTCAGTCACCATTGTGAAGTGCAGAGACAGTAGTAATTCAGTTACCATTGTGAGGTGTAGATACAGAAGTTATTCAGTCACCAATGGGAGGTGTACATACAGTAGTAATTCAGTCACAATTGTGAGGTGTAGATACAGTAGTAATTTAGTTACCGATGTGAGGTGTAGATACAGAACTAATTCAGTCACCATTGTGAGGTGTTGATAAAGTAGTAATTCAGTCACCATTGTGAAGTGCAGAGACAGTAGTAATTCAGTTACCATTGTGAGGTGTAGATACAGAAGTAATTCAGTAACCATTATGAAGTGTAGATACAGTAGTAATTCAGTAACCGATGTGAGGTGTAGATACAGAACTAATTCAGTCACCATTGTGAGGTGTTGATACAGTAGTAATTCAGTCACCATTGTGAGGGGTAAAATAGTAGTAATTCAGTCACCTTTGTGAGGTGTAGATACAGAAGTAATCCAATCACCATTGTGAGGTGTAGATACAGAAGTAATGCAGTCACCGGTGTGAGGTGTAGAAACAGAAGTAATTCAGTCACCATTGTGGGGTGTAAAATAGTAGTAATTCAGTCCCCAGTGTGAGGTGTAGATACAGAAGTAAATCAGTCACCGATGTGAGGTGTAGATACAGAAGTAATGCAGTCACCGGTGTGAGGTGTAGAAACAGAAGTAATTCAGTCACCATTGTGAGGGGTAAAATAGTAGTAATTCAGTCACCGATGTGAGGTGTAGATACAGAACTAATTCAGTCACCATTGTGAGGTGTTGATAAAGTAGTAATTCAGTCACCATTGTGAAGTGTAGAGACAGTAGTAATTCAGTTACCATTGTGAGGTGTAGATACAGAAGTAATCCAATCACCATTGTGAGGTGTAGATACAGAAGTTATTCAGTCACCAATGTGAGGTGTACATACAGTAGTAATTCAGTCACCATTGTGAGGTGTAAAATAGTAGTATTTCAGTCACTATTGTGATGTGTAAAATAGTAGTAATTCAGTCACCTTTGTGAGGTGTAGATACAGAAGTAATGCAGTCACCGGTGTGAGGTGTAGAAACAGAAGTAATTCAGTCACCATTGTGGGGTGTAAAATAGTAGTAATTCAGTCGCCAATGTGAGGTGTAGATACAGTAGTAATTCAGTTCCCGATGTGAGGTGTAGATACAGAAGTTATTCAGTCACCATTGTGAAGTGTAGATATAGTAGTAATTCAGTCTCCATTGTGAGGTGTAGATACAGTAGTTATTCAGTCACCATTGTGAAGTGTAGAGACAGTAGTAATTCAGTTACCATTGTGAGGTGTAGATACAGAAGTTATTCAGTCACCATTGTGAAGTGTAGATATAGTAGTAATTCAGTCACCATTGTAAAGTGTAGATACAGTAGTAATTCAGTCACCAATGTGAGGTTTAGATACAGTAGTAATTCAGTCACCGATGTTAGGTGTAAAATAGTAGTAATTCAGTAACCAGTGTGAGGTGTAGATACAGAAGTAATGCAGTCACCGGTGTGAGGTGTAGAAACAGAAGTAATTCAGTCACCATTGTGAAGTGTAGATACATTAGTAATTCAGTCACCAGTGTGAGGGGTAGATACAGAAGTAATTCAGTCACCGATATGAGGTGTAGATACAGAAGTAATTCAGTCAACATTGTGAAGTGTAGATACAGTAGTAATTCAGTTACTGATGTGTGGTGTAGATACAGTAGTAATTCAGTTACTGATGTGTGGTGTAGATACAGTAGTAATTCAGTCACCAGTGTGAGGTGTACATAGAGTAGGCTTTCTGGTGTTATTGAATGCCGACAAAGAAATACTCACAAATTCTTGTATAATATACATGTATACAAAAAGAATGAAAACCATATAAACTTGAAAGCTGTTTTTATTTCAGAACGATTCACATGAAATGCATGTGAAATCAAACAAAATCCAGGAAAAGAAAAGTAAAATTTTTGACATAATATATGTAGTAAACTAGATAAATAATTGTTTTCTTCTTCTGAGGAAATTAATGATACAAAGAAATGCACACAATATTGATAATGCAACAATCTGATTCCAAACTCATGCAATGTTACTGCAGAAACTCTAGATAGGTACTAGATACTAGCCTGTAATCTCACCATATCACACATCAATATCCCTACAGGTTTGAGTAGTGGTGGGGATCCCCGGACAGCCAGGGAGCATCTCTACATTCAAACAGAACACACTATAATGCTGCCTTCGTTAACGGTGGATATGCTAGATTGGAAAGAAGTGAAGGGGTAAGGGGTGCTGGCTTTGTCTGAGGTCCCCACCACTCAAGATGATGATGACAATGGTGATTATGATGATGGTGGTATTGGCATGTTAACATAGGATCTACAGCAAAATGCAAATAAATAGTGGTTTTGGTGTAAAATGAATTACTAAAAATAATGATTTTGGTGTAAAAAAAAAGTCATATCGACAGATAAATATGTAGCATTAAATTTTGTATGCTGTAAGTTGTCAATATTTCACAGTGAGACTTAGTTGCACATTACTGTGAAAGTCAGTCTTTTGTGAAATACATGTTATTTACAATAAGATAAACCATAAATTAAGTTTTTGGCGTCAAAATTTGAGTCATCATGATCACTTTATATAAATAAACAAATATAGAAGGAATAGAAATTTTAAGTACATGTACTTAACAAAAAATAAAATAGGTTTTGGAATCTTTAAAAAGATTTTCATAAGCATGCATTGCTTAAGCCTCTGGTTGTTCAAAAGAAAACTACTTATGTGAAATACAACTTCCCATACCAAGTTATTTAATTAGAATACCAAATATTCAATACCATTGGATGCATTTTTAATTAACTTAAACAAATTACAAGTCAACAAAAACCTATAGTCACATGAGGATGGTTGTCTACTGGTAAAAGGTTTTACAAACATGACAAGCCAGAAAAATCATTAGGAATCAAAGATCTCTCAAATCATTTGATTAAAGTTATACTCAATTTTACACTGCTCTATGAATTACATACAGTATTTTTTTGCCACAGAAACATAACTTCTGAGCCCAGTTGTTCCGAGCTGAATTAGCTGAACCACACCTTTACGCAGTCATTTTTTTAATGTTTTTAAATCACATAAACTGAAAACTAAAATAACGTGGAGATCTGAAGATGAAAAAAAGAGATATTCCTCAAAACTTAAATTTTGAATAAATTTGCATTAATGGCCCATTAGCTAATCAGGTTTTGAACATTTCTGAGGCTTTACCACTCTGAAATAAACAACGCTTGCTGATATCAATAAATCAGTACTATATTTAATAAAAGATTTGGAAGTTGCCCTGCCAAGTTCATTTGCATCAAGTTCAAACTATGTGCTGAAAGATTTCACAATTTTTACATCTGATGAAGTGACTTTATCCTATATAGTGTGATATATTAACGGTCAGACGTAAATGTGACAAAATGTTATTTTTGTTCTCTATGATCCGAGATGGCTTCAGTTTGATGTGCGGTACGCTGCCATTGGTGGATTTTACTGAATGGATTTCTGCCCGTAAAGCTTTGGTACTGAACTGAAGATACAGAGATAATCGGTGTACTACAAATTATTCGCTTGCTGATGAATGAATGACAATGTATAAAACTTTGGTGTTAAAAATACCAACAGAATTTAGTGCCATGATTTTAGTTGAAGATAAATAAATACCCTCAGTATGGTACCATCTACTGCCAGATTCAATTATGATTTAGCAAGACTGGCATCAGGAAATCCCAATATGTATTTATCACACTGATGACCTTTCTCCCATACTACTGTTATAATACTGATAACTCTTCTATAGCTCACCAAATGATCTAACATCTACATTCAATTACATTAACAAAAACATTTAAAGTCACTAGATAGAACACAATTCCCCAATCTGGTTCAGCTAATATAGCATTGCTATTTCTTCAATATCATTGATAAATTCTACTAGAAAATGTCAAAATCTAATTATTTATGAAGAAAGGGATTCTTTAATTAAATACCAAATTCATTATATGGATCTTTACTGTAAAGCATGTTTTTAACTTCGGAGAACCGAAAATTAACTTGATAAAATACATAACTTGTTATAGACTTGTTATGTTCCTAAGACAATCCTGTAAAGGGACAAAAACATCACTTTATTATATACATGACTTCATACATTTTTACTGTTCCAAGTAAAAGAGGTTAAATTTTTTGAATAGATGAAGATGATTTTTTTTCAGCAATCTGTTGGTAGAGCCACGGAAGCAGTGTGTTGATCATAGTGTTACAAATGGCAGTTAGCACTATAAAATCACCTGTTAATACTTGTTGGTCAATTTTGGATGTAATTACTCATTCAACCCTGAAACTTCAAAATAAACTTTTCCAACCGTTGAGTTGGAGGAGTTCAAACGCGTCTTCAGGGGTGAATGAGATAATAATGCCTTGGGCTGCCTAAGGGAGATAGCTGAGTGATATGCAATATACTTAATAAGTGTGATATGACTTTATCTGGCAGTACAACAGAGCTTTCTACAAATGTTGGTGACTTGGCAAGACATCCGACTCCAAGGGAATTACACATATACTAGGTTATACACTGGCAACTATAAGGAATGTTGTCAAAACATAGTCTCTACACTAAATGCATCACCAATGAAACTTGTTGTCAAAAGAACTATTAGAGAACAAAATATCATACTCTCAAAATATATTAGTAAAAATCATGATAAGCAGGATAGACTATGACTTGTTGTATTTACCCAGTATGTTTGGTAATCCACAGGATGGCTGTATGGAAACAATATTGAGCTAAAAATTACTAGTGTATAAATTATCGTTCTGTGAATAAAAATGAATTTGATAAAATAATACAACTTACAATAAATTAACGGAGACAATTACTATAGCACTGCAACTAGCCAAGATAGAACATGATGAAAACCGATTACAAATTACCATCGTTAGCCAGGTAACTATATGACACATCAGTGTAAAATATAACTCGCATTTCTCTATGATAAATATTAATTAGTTGTACCATATGATTGTTTGACCAAAAAAGAACAAAATCTTGTTAATCACAAATGAAATTATCTTTTCAAGCGTTTTTAGATCTTCATGATTAAAAAATTAGACAAAAAATAAATCTAACAACAATCTTCAATTAAATAAAGAAAATGCCTCAAAAATATTGCATACAGATAAATTTATTTCGGAAGTTGTACAATCCAGTACAGCCGCACACTAACAAACTTAACAAACCTGCTTCAGATTTAATTGGTGTTCAACAATAAAGAATATAACGAACTCCTGCAGCATTGCCTGGTGTTGCCCTCTTGTGTTAAGTTAAACACATATCTAACACCCGGCATCATGTTGCCCCCATTATCCTTGCATAATATTTTTTTTATCATTTGAAATTACTTTGTTTTCAACTTAAAACTAATTTCCAGCTCTCGAACAGTTCTTGGGGTGATAAATTATCTTTCACATATATACACTTAATATATATCAATAGTGTAGTGCAATACTGTATTTAAGCATTTTGAAATACCTGATAATTGAAATTTAAAACTTAAATGATTATGTTGATAATTCTATATGACAGAAAAATCAACTACCTTTTGCTAATTTTGCTAAAAAAAAAAGGTTCACAAACTTAATAAGTAAACCCTTTCACCACTGTAGACCATATTGGACTCATCCAGATCAATGCATGGTAGAGTCTACTTAAGTTACATAGGGGTGAAAGGGTTAAGATAGAAAACTAAGGAGAAAAACTTCAACGCACACTGAGGAAATACATAAAACAAAACCAGAACTCTACAATATTTAGTTTAGCACTCTTTGTATGGGTTTAATTGATCCACTCTTCTTAGCGATCAAATGGAACAATTTAAAACCTTCCTGTCCAAATATGGAGTGAAGGATTTAGTAACAAGTCTCTTGATTTAATCACATGAGGGGTAACTCCTTAACTGAAAGCAATAAAGTGTGATTAGTCACATGTTTCTAGGTTACAGAACATACGATTGTATAGATATATTTATATAACACAAACTCTATATATACAAATTTGTACCTAAATGTGATTACATTCACATCAATTTCATAACAAATACTCAATAACAATTCTTTTTTTTCTAATATTTTTTTTATAACTTTTTTGTTTTTCTGTCTAAAAATAACACACTTCAACATAGTTAACAAGTAAAAATAATGTACAAGGGTTTTTGAACAGATTTGCACATGTAACTGCAAAAATCATTTTTCTGTTTTAACTCGAACCAGACTGTGTTCCTGTTACATTAAATTTGTTTGAATATCACAATAGAATGTACTGGAATAATGTAACTAAAATGCATTTGACACACATTTTATCTATATTAGATGTTTTTCTGAAGATAAGATGGAACATTTGACACAAACAGCTTTTAGCCATATTTAAAATGAATTACAAACACATTTTTAATAGATAATCTCAAATATAAAATTGTATTACTGACCATATTCGATGGAATTCTATAAAAACATCTATCCTATAAACCATTTGATGGGGCAAGCAAAATAGAGTCAAGTCCTTCTTCATTCAACAAGGACAATGTCATCTTCTTTGTCAACATTCAGGATAGTTGTAGAACGGACAGATTTAAATGCAGTTTATCATTCTGACTAGTGTAATAAGACATGGTAATATCGTATTTATCTAATAGATAGCTGTGCAGAATCTGTTCAGAAAAAAGTTGCACAAAACAAATGATGAATGAGTTGATACCTGTAAATGGTGAAAGACAACTACAATACCCGACTAACTCATCTTCATCAATAATAGGGTGGTGGCACCTACCTGCACACAGGTCAACCAATATGTACATGCTACACAAGGAATGATAATGGCCATCTCACAGACAGGGAGGAATACGTACAGGGCCTGGATGAGCAATGGACATGCAAAGGTGGGCGGAGCTTATTATGTACAAGACTGCATATGTAGGGGGAGAGTGACATTCATTCCACCGTGTCACTTATACCACACACTAATTACTCGTCAACACACTCATACACTGTAAATCTACCTCTGCATCAACATCACACATTCTTATATTTAACTGTAGCTAAGTCTAGGTTCTCCATTGGTATTTACATACATATCTAATCCTACTTATTTACAGAATAATTTTACTGGGCTCCATATTTTATTAACTTCTGGTTTGTTCTACACTACAACAACATATCTGACAAAGGACATTGATAAAATCCCTTGTCCAACACTTACTTTATTACTTAACAGATCTGACAAAGGACATTGATAGTCTCCCTTGTCCAACACTTACTATATTACTTAACAGATCTGACAAAGGACATTGATAGTCTCCCTTGTTTAACATTACTGATGTGAAAAAGGACATTGATCGTCTCCCCTTGTCCATCATTTAATATAACTTTATAGATGTGAAAAGGACATTACGGATCTGAACTGTCTAACATTTATGATAGTTTATTTGGTAGATGTGAAAAAGGACTTGATATTCTGTGCTATCCAGCACTAATTATAGCATGAAGAATGTAAAAAAGTATAGATTATCTGAGATGCCCTACATGCAAGATCCTGTAGCGAGAAACATAGAAAAACAAGTGGTTGTGTACATCGGAGGAATCACATTTCCAGGAAGAATTCCATCCATATATTGACTAGAAGAGAAGTTATGTCTTTTACCAAAGACTTCATTCTTAATGTACATCTGAACTTTACATGTAAAACAAGGTAAGTGAACGAATCCACATGTGTCATAGCTCGGACGGCATCGTAAGTGTATCAATGTACATTAAGTAGGAAGAACATGCAGTCTTCTACAAACTACTTGAAAACATGCATTAGATGTTTCTCTATACATACATTAACAATATATATGCATATTTGTGTATATTTGGCATTAAACACAGATATTTGAGCAAAGTACCTCACCTTTCTATTTTACAGAACTAGGTCTGTTGACCAGATCAAACACACTTAATTTATACCATTTATCCTTAGAATTTCTCCCAATTGATGTTCAAAATTGACCATATCATTAATTATTGAAACATTTCCTCATTCATCTTTTTTCTTTTTTTTTTTTTTTTTCATTTTCAGAATTTTTTCTTATTTTTTTTTGTTTTGTTTTAAATGATTTCTTATAGATTCATTTTCGTTCCATTCACTTATTCCTGGGTGTTGAAATGTGGGCTATATTGTTGATCAATGGAAATGCATCCTATAGGCATGATATTGAAATTATAAATGGAATGACATTCATATCAGTACGCTCACATACTCAAGGCTCCGCCCACCTCTCCTGATGCTGCCATTCAAAACATGTTACCGAATGAGATCTGAGTACACAATACAGGCTAAAACAACAATGATATGAAGAGTACAGTATAAAACCTTGGGTGACATGCACCACACCAATGATATAACACGACCAACTATCTTAAGTGTTTTTCCTGGGTAATAGTATAATATATAATATGTGTATTCTCTAAATGACCTGACTGTGTAAATAAAAAACAAATCTGAAATATAGAGTAAGACTTTAAACAGACATGTAAGGCTAGCTACTAACTGAATTATTTATCACAGTGTGTTATTAGTTTAACATCGCATCTACTATCACCACGTCTCGTACTTGACAAGCTACAATGATGTCATCATTAGCTAGCTGTTTATCACGGTCACCGTAATCCGATACGTCTCCTACGTCTACTTAACATACATCTATAGATCTCAACCAACCAAAAGTCACCACAATCAACTCATGTAAGAGTTATTAGTTTGCATCACTTTTTCAATATGGAAATTATATGTCCTTGGGTTATGATGCACTCATATGATTTTACAAACTTTCATCAAGATATATTTCCTGAATCGTAATGCGGATGCAGTATTTTTTATGCAATTTGATCATAATGATACTTGCAGTATGATATTAAAACAAGTAATCTTTATACTTTCATAATTTTTGAACTCCAACCCCAGATTTCAGAATCTTAGAATTTCATGGTACTTTGACAAACATAAAATGTATACCAATAAAACCTTGGATCACACATGATAGTTATACGAAGGGTAACAAGGAGGATGTACTTTTATGAGCATATATATACAAAGTCTTTTGAAATGATGTGGACAATTTATCTATATCTTTGATCCTTATATGATGACTTTCAAAATACATACAGTGTATTTGCATCTTAAAGACGGTGAACATATTGTTCTTTCACAATACATCAAATAAATGCAAATGTAGTGTTAACCAATCAAATTGCTTGTAAATAAGTTAACGTGGAAGACATTCTTATGATACAATGCAGTGCTTGATTGGTCCTTTGTACTAGCGCTGTGAGTGGACATTAGCAATCCTGATACAATGCAGTAATTGATTGGTCCTTTGTACTAGCGCTGCAAGTGGACGATAGCAATCCACCAGTCAGCCCACACGGTTTCCTGATCTGCTCGGCGAGTCTGCGGGCCTGGGAGATGGTAGAACAGCGTTTCTATAGGAATACATTGCCCTGTATAAGCTAGGACGTATATATTCTTACTAGGTATCTAGGAGCTCCTTCCTGTGTATAATAAGCTGGAAACATTAACCATTGAGTACTTTCTAGTTGTAAATTTGTCCCATTATATATCATTTTTTCTCTCTCTCTATATATATATATATTTGTATTCACACATACAAGTCACACATATACTATTTTCCTAAGTCCACGAAGTACACTGTGAACATGTTGACACATCAACCTCATGTCTGCAGTGGTCGTCAACATACGCCAATCACAGTTTCACAAATGAGACAACTACAAAAAATTGGGCTGCATACATTCAAACTAGACTCAATGTCACTTTCCTGCTTTCTAATTTGGACTCATGTTTCTGTATGTCCATCCAAAGCTCTCAGCAAAAGTTATTTTGCTTCAATATTTTTAGTGAAATTTTGCAGTCGAGAATGACAATTTTTAATGTAAATGCAGACATACTTTTTCTAATCATCTACACCATTTGCAAAAACTGTTGATCTTAATTTTGCATAAACCTATCTACATCTCTAACACATTAAAGTCTACCATCCTAAGACACGAGGAACTGTAGTAAGTCTGCTGCGGACATCAGGGCCTGTGACCCATTCCACCGCGGACAGCTCCCGCAGTTAGTGCTGATCTAGGTCCACACAAGCACATAATAAAAATATCACACGCAGACAAAATCTTTCTTTCTCCTAAACTCATGATGATTTATCAAGAATCTGCCTCCAACATTTCTAAGAAAAGCTTGTGCATCATGACACGTCCATCCTTTTTCACGTCAAACCAGTACTGTTTGGCGAGCAGTTTGATGTGTGTTAGTGGGGGCAGGAGAAGGTAGAGATGGCCGAGGCGGCGCAGATTCCCAGCGTACCGAGACTTCACGTAGTCAATTAGAGCGTCCTGGAGTTTATCCTGAAGGTTGCGTACAGCTTCACTGTTCTCTATCACGACATCTGCAAATCAACAGAAACAGTAAATTCCTGTACCAAAGCTTTGTATACCATACTAAACTACTTACATTCAAATCTATGGTAAAATACTAAGTCTGTCCTACAGTAGTGTACTATTACACAGTTATCATCACTTGTAGAGGATGGGGTCAAAAAACAAATTCAATGTGAACAGGATATTTGGGATCTTCAATCAAAATCCTACTATATCGGTCGGGATCAGATTTAACAGGAGTTGAAGGTAACTCTCAAGTTATGCAAAATAATGATAACGAGGTTTACCTAAAATTTGTTTTTTGAGTTACTTTCAAAGAAATCACTCCAAACTTTCATATACTAGAAATAAACCAGTTGATTTTAATATATTCTAAAGCTTACCATCATCTATAACTTAAGGTACCCTTCACAAATATGTAAATACATTGTTCAATACCAGAAATTAATTAGCATCTTTTGTTATTTCAGTGAGCTATACTATCTAATGGAGGTATTAGTGTTATTGAGTGCGGTAGAGCTCCATCAGACTTAAGAGGTAAGACTGCAGTAGATGAGTCACTGCTGCGTTACTTCTCCCTGCATCACGTATGAATATTGCATGATGGAATCCATATAAGTGCACCTTCATGTAATATTGATACAAGTCAAAAGATCTATCTTTCCCGTTCGAAGATAATTACAATCTTCAGCACTGCCTTATCACAGTTCAGACAACACCACAGAATATATCTTATACTAATCAATATCCTTCTTAAACTCTAGAAATTAGAAAAAAATCAAATGTGTCTTTAATCCTAGTAACTTGAAAACTTATTTACTTTTACAGCTACAAAAAATGTAATTATATGTTCATACCTATATTACACAATGTCATGGCTTTGAGGAGAAGATACTCTTCCTTTGTTACTCCCATATTTGTAAATTTTTTGGCGAGTTTGCGGGTGAGGTTATCAAGTTCTGGACTACACTGGCATTTTTTACACTCGTCCGCTGTCATCTGTAAATCTTCGGCAAAGCGAATGTATCCAATGTAGGGGCAGGATCTAAACACGAGATTCAGACAGAGTATCTCCAGCCAAGAGTGCTGTAGCAGGTTCATCTGGTCACTCAGCGACAAATTGCAGAAGCCTGTTGGGTATGATTAACTATCAGTATACACAATATACAGAGGCCTGGTGCTTGGGTCAGACAGAAATTCATATCTAAATGTGATCAATAAACTTCAATATTTTCAAATAGTACTTTGACAGAATAAACATTTTTTATAGAGCTATTGGAACAGTAATCTTGCGCAAGGCTATGAAAACTTAGTGTTTTTTACTGTCTTTAGGCCAAAATACATATTACTTATGTTTCCAATTTTCTCTACAATACCTTACTTATTGTTTCAGTAACTTCCAATATTGTAATCTTGGAAAACCCCATTTTTTACGACAGAGCCGAAATTGGAAACAAATATTTGGCTTGGCCTTATATCCATTATTTCAGGGTTTAATATCAATGAAGTAAAATACAGAGTAGAGATATTACTTGCCGACATTTATCACAAAACATCTTTTTATCACAGAGTAGCACCACCTTTGTTCACATATTGGTATTTAAAACAAATCAGGAGGATATTCCCAGATTAAATTTTGCTCCAACTGAATATGAAGTTTTCCATATACCTATATGTAACTACTACATACCTGGCACCTGTTTGGCCCAGCTTATAGTAATGACCAATTCTCGGTCGGCTAGGTCAGAAAATGCTGCTATAAATCGCATCTCATCATTGACAAGTTCTGGTTCTGGGTTGGCATATAGTTTGTCTAACTGTGATTCAATGTTCAGCAACTGGGTCAAAATCTTGTTTTCATGTTGGACTGTAATTTAACAACATCAATCATTACATAACAAAGTTTGTATACAGTACTAAAGGATGACAAAAAGAAATTCAACTGATTGTACTTAATGTTCATAGGGTGAAAAGAAATCACTTAGTATCCTGTCATCTTTTTCAGTGACGTATTTCAGTAATAAGGTTTCTTAAGGCACTGTCAGTTACTATAGTAACAAATAGACCAGGTATTTTAAGAGACAAACAGGGCTGCTGCCTTAACTGTAGGCAGTATATGGGTTGTATAACCAGTATTACTCACATTCGTAGCATGCCTTTTTCACCATGGGCAGTATAGGCTGTATGAGTGGCTGACTGAGACTGTCCAGACTTCTCTTGTACTTCTGTCTCCCACCACGTACTCGGTCAAGACGCACACCTGTAATACATAACATGCAAAAAATGTTATATTTTCAAACACTTGTTTTATGCATTAAGACACTTGTCATACACAACATCCAAAAAATGGTATAATTTCAAACATCTTTATTTTATGAAATGTAGAAAGGGCTTGTTCCTGGTGCTATTGTCTTAGGGTTATACATATATAGTTGTCCAAGACCCTTTACAACCAAAACATTGTATCAAAGTTCTTATGATACATACATTTTGTTTATGCCAGAACTGTCCATTTTTTATATGAGAGTTGTCTCCCTTGTACTTGATCATGTTTTTGTAGATCAAAACAGCCAGTGTGCCAGGAATGTTGGCACAGCCATTGAAATCTGGCATATCTCCTTGGCCGATTGTTTGCGGAGGAGGAATGGGTTGTTGACAAGTGGAGATACCTGTTGTTAAATGTCAGCGAGGTAAACAACCTACAGACTTGTTATTTATGACCATTGATAATACCAAAATACATATATATTACCATACAATTACGTATTTATGTCTGTACACATGTCCAGGGAATTCTCAAATTTTACACTAACTTTGCATTGGATCTATCTTGTGAACCAATTTAAAGGCAAAATGCAAAAAACAAAATGTCTGGTATCTGTTTTTTACACCTTTATGTACATGCTAGTACAGTATGTGTGTTTACCCGCCTCGACCAGTCTGTGCAGGCAGGTGAGCTGTTTAGCCAACGAATCCTATTAAGTGTGATGGAGGCTGCCTAACCTTTCCCAGCAATGCTTCATTATTTACCATTACATCAAAGGGTACATATATGTAAAAGTTGCAATACAAAATGACAGACATGATTACTTTGTCCATACAGCAACTATTTCTCATCTCAACAAAGCATACACAAAATGATTGAAAAGCACAACCAGCATATTGCATCTGGGTACTACATTGGGCCAGCTGGGTTGACTGTTCCTAGTTCACATGACATCTCTTAGTAAAAATTAGCAAAGGAAAATAACTTTGCAACCAAAATTGATTTAATAAAGTCATTCTTACTTGATAACAAAAACAAATTTTTTACTTGGGACCAAGTAAAACAGATTAAAAGTTTATTTTTCTGATCTACAAGCTTACCAACAGTTAATTATTTGCATAAGTAGTGAAGTAGATAAGCTCCTGCTTATAATCAAAAGGCAGAGATTTTTTTTGTAAAAAAATGAAATTATAATTAATAATTTCTTTCTTAAGTAACTCTTAATTAGCTATAGAAATTAGACAAACAACTCTGAATCAGAAAAATTCTAAACAAAATGGAACTCTTATTTGTTGGAGATACAACACAGTACACTGGGACTCTCTACCTTAATACTGTCTAATCTTAGAGGGCATACTTTTGCAAAGTTTTTCAGGTGCCCACTGAACTGTTACCAACAGGTTGATAAGAATATAAGTATCTAAGTCAGGTGGCTGAGGGTATCTAACTGTGAATGACCTCCATCGCCAGATACTGACAGAACTGCATTGTGCAATGTTGACATATTACAAATAAAAAAGAGGCAGAATTACACTTCAACGGTTGCTGGGTCAGATTGGTTAACCAGAAAAGTTTAACTTAGGGCGATACAAATCACTTCTGTTATCACATTTATCATTACTAGCGTCATCCCTCACCTACAACAAAACCAGTGACAAAGATGGTAGGGGGAAATTATATAAATAAATAATGGATTCTCAAGAAATCATATCTCCTTCGAGTTTTGCTATTATCTTGCAAACAATGTGTACGCAAAATTGATAATCATTCATAAAGGAAGTTGTCCAGACCACACCTATCAAAGTTGTACAGAATGACATGGATGATAAGAGACAACATCATCGCATCTAAATCTCAATGTTTTTAACAAAACAAACGTTACAAATGTTTACCCCTGACAGTTATCAACTCTGGGCTGTACATTGCCCAAGGTAGGATCTTACACCAATACAGCTATCAACCACCTAGATAATCCCCAATATACCTTATATGCATCAGATAATCATTAAATGTGCTCAGAAATTCTAGGGTTTTGTACTGTGTAAACACTGACACTGATGTTACTGGCCAACTGGTCTCATGGTAGTCAAGCTCAGCAGAGATACATGTTGGCTATGTGTTGTGTGAAGTGGTAGGCTATGTGATAGAGAGGTAGGCTGGTATGGTAGGCTGTGTATTGTGCGATGTGATATAGAGGTAGGCTAGTATGGTAGGCTGGTATGGTAGGCTGAGTATTGTGTGATGAGATAGGGTGGAAGGCTGGTGTGGAAGGCTGGTATGGTAGGCTGTGTATTCTAGTTCTAGTTCTAGTTTTAAATGGTACTGACCAACTTCAACAATTTGAAGATGAAATGTCAGACGAGGAGTGAAACATGGAAAGAGATTGTTTTTAAAAGATACGAGATGGTCTAATTTGCGTTTGAAAGGTGACGGTAGAGGGCTGATTTGAATAATTCCGTTGTGGGGCTCGAAATAATGTCAGGTGGGAGTTTATTTCACTCGGATATAGTTCGAGGGAAGAAGTATTGTGTGATGAGATAGGGTGGTAGGCTGGTATGGTAGGCTGTGTATTGTGTGGAGAGATAGGGTTGTGAAATAGGAAATTATTTCTCTTCATTCTCTTTCAAAAAAACCTATATCTTAAATATCTGCCTATATTACGACACCAATGCTCCTCTATGGTCCCCAAGAGCTGTAGGCTATAGATAGAATCCATTAGCTTTCCCTTTCCTGATTAGCTGTAGGCTACTACAGCCTCCACCTATCCTAAGACCTTTAGATTGTGACCTATTTGTACTGTTCAGTACTCAATGAATTAACATCTTGGACCATGGCATACAACAGAAATTGAACCAGGGAGAATCTGGTAAATAAGTATATATAGTGGTACACTCAACCAGCTTATCTGCAACGTTGCATCTAAGAGGGCATGTACATACAGTGCAAGAACAGGTTTGTCTGAGTATGTCAACACTGTGGATGATCAGTTGATGTTTTCTGAAGAAGATGTTTCCCCGAGAACCCGCTCACAATATATGTACAGCTGTATGTAATATGGGTGATGTATGTGGAGCAGGAGTTAGATATAACAGACTGTGTCTGGACTCATAACCAACATACATAAGGATGTCACACCAGTTACATCACCTACCTAACAATGACCGATATAATGCCCCGATCCAGTTTTGAAGGCAAAGAGTACTCCATCAAGTTCAAATGTATTTTTAACCTTAGCACTGTTGTGAAGTATTTGTACAAGTCATTTTCTACAGATACCTTCCACATAAAACACATCTTTCGATGCAATTGTTGGATATTAAGGTATTTGAAAATGAAAATTAAACAAAAGATGTTCTTGGAGCCAACTCTGTAGCTATCCACTGCCAATTCTACACTTCACCAATGCTTCTATCCAGAAATAGAGTGTAAAGGTATCAAAATGAAAGATGAATCTCTTGCCAAGGGAAGTAACTCTAAAGTAAAAACAGTTGTTTTACGTCGCTTTATCTTCTAAAATGAATATTAACAGAAAATACTAAAAGGCGAAGATATTATAGCTCTCCTTCGTGATTATAGTACTGGTGCAGTGGTACATTTTACCTTTAGTAAAATCATATAAAAGGGTAGACAAAATTAACACATTGCTGCACTCCCCCTCCCACTTTTCCAGACTTTTTCACATGAAATTGCAAGAAGTATAATTGTCCTATTTTCAATAATCAAAACCATTAATTTACTTTACTTGAGAAAGGAGGAATATTGTCAAATAGTTGCAGGAAACAGCATAACATAGTACATTGCTTGTAACAATGAAATGTTGAAACATTTACAAGCCAAGTTTTCAGTTCTCTCTTCCTAAATCAGTGAAAGATGTGAGAAAGTGTCCCTACGAGGAGTTGTTTAAAGCAGTATCACTAGAACTTGAGTGTTACTGATGCCTCCCAATCAACATCAACTGTGATTTACACACAAAGATCAGGGTTTAGAAGGCCTTACACCTCCACACAATTCATGGGATGTAATCAAGGCTCCACTGTTCTTCCTCCCTTGCTGCCAACACATTGGTTTGTCATTGATTTCTACCCAAACCATGCTGGCCCCTACACTGTCAGGTCTTCGCTCAATAACGTCCTGTCACGCCCGACAACAGATAATGAAAATCTAGGGAGGGGCAGACCCAATTAAGCTAGTAATCAGGAAACATTTCCATTTTACTATGCTGCATTCTGTGCAGGATATTTACAAAAAACTGTCAGAAACAAATGGAAACTACTGCCTCATGGAATGCCTCCAAATGAGACAAGATTTTACACAACCACTACCATAGATCACAAAACACCACGACACAAGGTTGATAAGTGGCTACTTAACCAAAACTAACCTACAACTATATATACAACACCAATCTTTCCAGCAGGAATTTTATATTGTCACCTAAAAATAAGGCTGCTAGACAGGAAGGGGAAACACCAGTATAATCTTACAACAGCATGCACTTTTGGCGTGATGTGTAGCATTATTATACGGTGGCATTAATCAAGAACAAGATGCATTGCTTGCTGAGAAAAATTCCACTGCATAATGTATATTTGGCATGACACTAGTACATGGCCACATTTTTCAACATACCCTATGCTCTATCAGGCTAGACGCCATGAATTATGTCACTATATATATATACGAAGCAGGAAACAGCTGATGTTAATGTGAAGGTGAAGGAAATGTCAGTCATTTATTTATAATAGTTAATTATTCTTTAATCACAGAAGGAAGAAGATTTACTTACAGTGACGAAGGTAAGATATTTGTATGATGGTTAAGCCCTGATACTGTCGAGACTCTTCATAAATCTAACAGGTAATATTACACTGTCCTACATAAATAACTGTCCTGTATTACTTGGCGTATATTATGCTGTTCCGTTGAGTCATATTACCTCAATGTGACACACATTAGAAAAGTGCTTCATATCTGCATTCTCCATTAGCTGCTTG